AGTAGCTAGTTAGCTGTGCCCATTTAAATAACACTCGCCGGCTATTCAGGCCTTGACTTCACTTCCAATGCATCCGGGTGGCCGTCGATCAGTCATCAGTCGTCTGATCTGATAGATATTTCTGGTTGCGGAAGCTATCAAAGGAAGTAGCGTCCTTTCAGCAACTAGAAATCAATTTCATGGCGGACGCCAGAGTTAAGCCTTGGCAACTGGCCGAGCATTGCAAGTTGTCGCCGCTGCTGAAGTGTCGAGCGTCTGTGGCATGCCTTAAAGCGTAATCAAAACCTTCGTAATTGGCACTGTAATGCAATACTTGAGCGCGGCAGAGCCGTGGCCATTAGCCGGCACTTATCTGTATGCATATGCATAGGGATCGGTGCGCTTCACTGGCTGTTCATGAATGGGCGAGACTCGAGCGTCGTTGCTCGTCTGTGCTCAATTAAAAAATGCCATAATTGAGCAGCATTTGGGGCAATGGAAATGGAATGGGATTATGCAGAGCAGAGGCAGGCACCGCAACAACAAATGTCCCGAGCATAGGATAACAATTACCCAAAGGATTTGACCACGGATACGGAAGCTAACGCTGTACCGTACTTAACTTGTGTCTTTTTCTTTTTAGTTTTCTTTTTCTTTTTTTTTTTTTTGTTTTGTTTTTAGTCTCTGCATTCTTTGGGCCTTTGCCATTTTTCAATACTTCCGTGACGGAAGTGTCTCGACCTGAACCCGAGCAGCCTTCGTCCTTGTTTGTATCTCTCTCGCTCCATCTGTGATGCGGCTCTTGGCCATTATCTCGCTGGGCTGCGTGGCAAGTGTCTAACTGTTTGTGCGTTTTGCATATGAAAACAAACAAGTGCAAGCTGAGGGCGAGAGCGAGAGGAAGAGAGAGCGCAATACACTTCAGTGCGCTTTTGTGGCATTTCAAGCGGCACACGTGTAATCCTTGCTCACTTCCTAGACACTAGACAGATTGCTAATAGCATTGCTGCCTTATCCAGCTCTGCCTGGCCCTCTCCCTCTCGCGCTGTCGACCTTTAACTACTTCCTCATTAGCCAGCAAGCTGGCCACTTCACCTGAATTGCCTGATGGGCTTATGGAACCAAAATACAACTAAACACAGCAATTTTTAAATCATTTTTAAGCCACATCCAAGCTGCTGCTGCTTTGTTTCGTAACTTTAAGATAAGACCGTTTCCTCTTCGGCTTGTCTGTCTTCTGCTGGATATGCCTGTTCGATTATGCATAGAGCACAAGAAGTCGACTTGGTCTATAATAAAAAAAAAAACAGTACTAAGCCAATGCCAAGGAGTTAAGCGGAATTCCGCGAATGCCACCAATAGCTGAACTCAAGCAGCCACCAGAAACCCAAGACCAGAAACCAGAAACCCCTTTTAGTCAATTAGTCGCTGATTTTCTTTGTGTTCGCTGTTTTTTGGTCGAAATTATTATAAAATCGCGTTCACAATGGGAACCCTTTGGCAGCGCTTTACGACCTGGCCTAACCTCTGCCGTAAAAGAAAAAAAACTAGAAGAGCCAGAGCTCATCCATAATTTTGACCTGTAGGTTTTTTATTTTTCGCCGAAGTGTTTTCATTATGCAATAAAAAACGCTTTCCCGATTCTGGCTCTGCAACCCGTTCGGAGCGCCCTACCTGGCCAGGTTTCTGTGCGTTTTTTTTTCCTTTTTCGCTGCAGTTGGCATAAAAAACACGCTCAAGGACGACAGGACGAGAGGTAAAGGATTGCACAAATATTGCATCTTTGTTGCCGCGACCAGCCGAACGGCAACCAGCTCAATTATGTCTGCCGTTGCCTTTATGGCATCTGCCATGGCTTTTTTACGGCACGGCGGCTCGCTACGCCGGATCGGCATGGTTATAATTCTTTTCGCTGAATCTGGTTTTTACTGCGAAATTGGCAACTCTTTGGCAACGGACGCGACTTTTTATGGTCAGCAGGTAAATGGCCAACTCAATGATGTGGATGGGTGTCTGTGTGTGTGTGGATGTGTGTGGGTGTATGGGTGTGCTGCGTTTTAGTTTAATCCACCATTTTTACGGTTGGATTAGCATTGGATTAGCATAAGCTCGCGGTTTTTTACAGATTATTAGGCGGCCAAATGTGCAAAATCTTTGGCAATTGTAACTGCTTTCATTACCCATTCAATGGGCCACTAAAAAGTGAATGAATCATCTGATTGATGTGCATGTATGTGTGTGTCTGTGTGGACATCTCTGTGACATATTCAGTGCGAGTTGCCTCCAAGTCAAAGATGTCCAGGAATAATGCTGAAAGCCCCGACGTTGCAGACTTACAAAGAGAGCAGAGAATGTTCGAGTTAGGGCTCATCATTAAGGAGGGAGAACTTCTAGGCCTCGCCCATGAGTGTCGTTGTTGACCACAAGCAGAATGCCAATCACAAGAAATGCAGCGCAACATGTGCTTAAATCTAATATCAAGAAGTCCACGTTGGCTCAATGGCAGCCAGATAAAAGTGTTTCGATGCGAGAGCCTAGTCCATGTTTTAGCATTCGAAATGGGGCCGAGGTCGTAGTCGAAGTTCGCCGATTTGCAGGCCAAGTTTGTGATAATTCAGCTGGCTCTAGGCCACGTTCGTTTGAGCATCCTTTCGTGTTATATGATTTGGTTAGTTGGGCTGCTGTTGACACACTTGAGGTTGGGCACTTCCGCTTGGCGCGACTTTGTATACTTTTCCAAATGTTGAGTCGCAGGGGCTAACAGTTAAGTAAAGTCAAACAAAGGCTCTCTATCCCACGCTCAGGGCCGAGAGCAAAGGATGTGCCCGGACAAGTGGGCAAATAGATAGATATATAGATAGCTAGATCGATACATCTGTAGGGCAATGGCGGCGACACTTGCTGCTGCTGTTGGCATGAATCGAGTCGCAATTCGACTGCTCGAGTTGGCCTGAGCCAAGGCCTAGCCGGCCATGCTTCCAGGAAGGCTTTTTGCCGCTCGCAGCACGCAAGTCGCCAGTTGAGCAAAGGATGCGCTAACGCGCGAAAGGCTCGCCAGCCTAATTTTCATAATTTGTCACGCACAATCATTTGTGTAAGATGTGCATAAAATTTGCAAACACACACCCACACACACACGCACACACACGCACTAGGCTGGGCTGGCCAGCAAAAGGATTTCGCAGACAAAAGCGCAAAACAAACGGATTTAACTATTCGTAACCCTTGGCCTTAGTATTCTATATTCTAGCTCTAACTACCCCTCTCACTCTCTCGCTCACTCTTTCGTTCCTCAACTACTAATGCCCGCTGCGACATTGGCTTAGGCTCTAATTGCTTCTAGAACAGCTCCTAATATCGCCTCTGTCCTAGCTTCAATTCAGCTCAAATATTTCTGCTCAAATGCTTCATTTCTAGATTTAGCTTCGATTGCAATTGATCATCTAAAAATGATGTTTCTGTTTTATGCTAAGTTAAATCAAATTTCGTTTTTATTTACTTAACTCAAGCCATTTCTGTGTTCTTGCTTCAACTCAAATGGCAAAGATCAACTTGCCTAAGCCAACTTCAATTCAGTTTTCAGCGCATCTTTGTGAGTTTTATAAATTTTTTAGAGACTTGACATATTTATTTAATGAGCTAGGAGCTGATTTCATATTTGATTTTTGCTTTTCTATAAGTTTGAATAAGCCTCTGGCTACCTCTCTCTACTCTACTTCATTTGATGCCTAGCTGAATACACTCAAAGTTTTTTATTTAAGAGCTTAGCTAGCTATCATTTAATTCTAGTAGGACTCATAGAGCCTAGACGTTCCAAAATATTTTATTTACTTTTTTAATTGATGCGAAGTTCTAGAAACAAAGAATTATTTCATATAGACTTCATATATCCTTTTATCACATATTCATATTCACATATTCTCATATATTCATATATTCATATATTCATATATTCATATATTCATATATTCATATATTCATATATTCATATATTCATATATTCATATATTCATATATTCATATATTCATATATTCATATATTCATATATTCATATATTCATATATTCATATATTCATATATTCATATATTCATATATTCATATATTCATATATTCATATATTCATATATTCATATATTCATATATTCATATATTCATATATTCATATATTCATATATTCATATATTCATATATTCATATATTCATATATTCATATATTCATATATTCATATATTCATATATTCATATATTCATATATTCATATATTCATATTCACATATTCACATAATTCACATATTCATATATCCTTTATATTATATATTCACCAAAGGAGAAAATCCAAGAGAAAGATTTTCCCGAAATGAATTAAGAATAGAAAAGTAACTCGCAAGAAAAGGTAATACGCCAAATGGAACTCAGAAAAACAATGCAGGAACCAAAAAAAATAATAAAAAAAAAAAACAAACAAAAAACAACAATTTTCGCGAAAAGTGCATAAAACTAATGCAAAAAATAGGAATAGAAGAAGTAGAAGTAGCTGAGGGAAAAATATGACGAACAAGATAAAGGGTCAAGCGATGGCAAACCTCAACAACCCTCGTAAAACCCTTTGAAGCTGAGAGCGCAAGCAAGAGCGAGTGAGTGAGCGAGCGAGCGAGAAAGCATGCATGCGTGAGTGAGTGAGCGAGCGAGTGAGTGAGTGAGTGAGTGAGGGAGTGAGTGAGTGAGTGTGCGACTCACCCCTTTGCCTTTGCTCTGGCCCAGTGCGCGCCGACTACCTGACACTGCCCCGGCTCCTTGTGGCGGCCGCCATTTTAGTGCGAGTGCAACGGTAAATGAATGAATCGTACGGCCGCTGCGTCGGCGTATAAAAGGCGGCCGGAATGTCGTTTGGAAATCAGTTAACGTTCGACAACGTCAGCGTGCAGACAGACGACACACACAAGCACACACACACACACACCCGCTACACACCACACACACAACAACAGTTTTGAGCAACGCTTTGGAATAGCCGCAAACATGTTGATGCACGAGAAACTCTTGGCTGGGCAGTTCTTTGATCTAAAGACTGGTAAGTGTAGCCACGCCCCGTGCCCCAGTGCCAAGCCCACATTTTTAACACTTCCTCTCTCTCGCTCTCTCTCTTTTGCTGTGCAGATCGCAAGCCGCTGCTGCATCACCATCATCATCCTCATCATCTGCAGCAATATCAGCTGCCGCATAGCCAATTGCAGCAGTCGCACCACCTACACCAGCAGCAACAGCATCACCAGCAGCAGCAGCAGCAGCAGCAGCAGCAGCAGCAGCAAGCATCGCATTTGACACTGCCCAAAATGGATCTGTATGCCGCCTATGCCTATCAGCAACAGTTGCTGGGCAGTGCAGCCGCCGCCGCGGCGCTCAGTCAGCAACAGCAACAGCAGCAGCAGCACCAACAGCAGCAAACAATTGCTGCTGCCACCGAGGTGCTGGATTTGTCGCGGCGCTGCGACAGCGTGGAGACGCCGCGCAAGACGCCCTCGCCTTATCAGACCAACTACAGCTACGGCAGCGGCTCACCCGCCGCCTCGCCCACAGCCATTCCCAGCAATCTGCTCTACTCCGCACAGGCAGCAGTCGCCCAGCAGCAACAGCAACAGCAGCAGCAGCAGCAATTGGCATCGCTCTATCCGGCCCTTTACTACGGTGGCAACATCAAGCAGGAGCCGAACGCCGCAGCTGTGGCCAAGTCCAGCAGCAATGCCACTGCCAGCCTGTTGCAAACCTTTGCCGCCGCCTCGGCTGCAGCGGCAGCAGCTGCTGCCGTCTCGGCCAGCGCTGTGGATCACTCGCCACGGCCAGCCAGCAATGCCAGCACCATGCAAATCGATGTGCTAGAGGCGCCACAGTCGCCACCAGCGCCAACCAGCGAGAGTCATCAACTGCATGGCCACGGCAGCAGCAGCAACAGCACCCACCACACGACACCCACCAGCAGCACCACAGCACCGCTTTCCATAGCCGGTGGCGTCGATGGAAGCAAGAATACGCGCCCGTTTAAGGCCTTTCCGCGTGATCCGCTCGTGATTGCGGCCAATTTCGCTGCCACGGATGTGCTGTTGGATAATCCTCGCGTGGAGCGCTATACGGAATATCGTAAGCGCGTCCTGGAGCAAATACGCAGCTCGAATGGCGGCGCACGCACCGTGACCAATCCGAAAATGCGACGCACCAACTCGCGCAGCGGCAGCGTCAACGAGGGCAGCAGCTCCAACAATAACAGCGAGAGCGAGGATCGTGCCGCCGCTGAGGAGTCCAGCGACTGTGACTCCCATGCTGGCAATTTCGAGAAGCTGTCGAGCACAGGAACTGACGCTGGAGCAGCAGCAGCAGCAGCAACAGCCGCCGCGGCCGGCACACATATCGGCGGCGGCAGCCAGGTGAAGGATGCGGCCTACTATGAGCGTCGGCGCAAGAATAATGCAGCGGCCAAGAAGTCGCGCGATCGTCGTCGCATCAAGGAGGACGAAATCGCCATCAGGGCTGCCTATCTGGAGCGTCAGAACATTGAGCTTTTGTGCCAGATCGATGCGCTGAAGGCGCAGCTGGCCGCCTTTACCGCCAAGGTGGCTGTTTAGGCAGCGCTATATAGCCGATCGATTGCCAGATTGCCAGCTGCTTGTTGCGTTGAACGCGTTCGAGTCTCAGTTCCGTTTGGTTTCCACAATTCGATTTAAGCAATTTTTTTCAAGGAGGGGCAGCTTATCTGTGAATATTTTCATACTGTTTCTTCTAAGCCACACGCACATTCACTACTTCTAATTCGTACATTATTTTTTTGATCGGTTCAAGTATTTTAAGTACTTTAAGTTCTAGGGCTTTTAGCGAAAAATCTCACCAGTTAATTAATATAAACAACTAATTATCATATTGTATAGTACAAGAATATTTTGTAAGCAACATTTTTTTTCATATCCCTAAGCAATAAAATATATTTTTAAAAATACGTTAAAAGTTTTCACGATCAGCTGGCGCCATCTAGTGGGTGTAGCATTGCTGCAGGATAAGTTGTACAGTATTCAGCATTTGTCAGCGCACACGCAAGCAGGATAAATACATTTTGCACTACGGCATTGATTAAGCTATAAAGGCAGTTCAACTTTTTCAAAAGTATATTTAAAGTAAGGATATGGGGTTTCTTTTTGATTTGCCACGCCCCCAATAAACGTATACATATATTAAATTTAAGCAATATTTTAATTGAGGTTTTACAATAACCGAACTGCTTTTGCTGCACTCGCTCCAAAACAGTGAAAGAATTCGCCACGATTCCAATGAACGTAAATACATTAACTATAAGTGTGTCTTTTGAAGCTGTTTATTCCAAATTCTAACCTTCTAGCTCTCATAGATTTAACGATATTATCTCAGACATAGTTTAAAATGTGGTTTAATTTGTGTGTTGCTGAAGGCTAACGGCCATAGCGCACTGGCGCCATCTGTTGCACTTTTTTGCTTTAAATGCAGTGCCACGCATTTTGTTATGCAGCAGACACCTTTTGATTGGTTGGTGCTCAACATTCAGCTGGGAAATACAAAACTAGCGCGGTTTTTATATTTTTATCAATTTTTATTTTCAATTTTTTTTGTTTGTTTTAATTTTTTTTGTATTGTTTTTTTTTTACCGTTTGTCGGTCCGTTTTTGTTTTTGATTTGTTTTTTGTTTTTGTTTTTTATTTTTTCATTAATACTAAGTGTACGCATTAAAGGTAATATATATATATATATATATATATATATATATATGTATATGTGTGTATCTATATATATATACATATATATATATATATTATTTAATTGTTAATTCATTCATTAATTGTAGGCTTACTAAAAATTGTTAAGGTTTGTTTCCTTTTAATCAGCTATGTTGCTTCTCGAATTATATCATTACGTTCTACCACTACGGCCCGAATAGGCTTAAATGAACAACAGCTTCATATTCGCTTGTTTCTCTGCTCTTCAATGCTCCTCTGCTTTCTTTTGTATTAGTTGCCTTTTTCTGTTCAGTTTTTAGTTTAGGTTTTCTTTTAGTTTTAGTTTAGTTTAGTATTTAGTAAGTTTACATTTTAGTATGTTGCTTTAATATTAGTATTATTTGTTTGCTTGTTTATGTATCGTATAAGGCTAAGACGTTTACTAAACTAATCTCTTGTATTTGTATTTGCTTTCGTTTTTGTTTTTGTTTGTGTTTTTCTTTATATTTTACATTTGAAATATTTTACAGTTTTATCGCGCTCCCTCAATTTAGTTAACAAAGTGTCGACAACAATTATTTGCTAAAATGCCAGCGCCTGGTTTAAGGCTACATCCATATGTAAGTTGTGGGGCGGGGGCGTGGCGGGGAGGGCTGTTAAAATGTATTAGTTATGCATAATTTGTTTAAAGGTGAATGCATGTGTAGATTGGGCATACGAATAGTAAGGAAAATCTTTTGCATTTCTTTGTTTTAATTCTTGTATCTTTATTTTTGTTTTCATTATATATATATATATATAAATATATATATGTATATATATTTTTTATTGATATTTTTCTTTCTTCATTAAATGCTAAAATTAATTATAGAAAAAAAAAGTTATATATATATATAGAAATATATGTATATATATATAGTTAAAAAAAAGCTAATTTACACAATTATAAGTGACATCTTTTAAAGGGGTGCAGTGTGGGTGGGGTAGGTAAGGGGGGTTGATTTGGGGGCATAACAACATAAGTATAGTGACGCGTACTTGAGGAAGGAGTGTATCGTAGGAGCTTGTGTGCTATTATAACTTGTATACATGTCTATGTTTAGTATAAGTTGTTACGTAAAAGAACTCTCACACACACACGTGCGCACTCACTCACTCAGACGCACGCACGCACACACAAACACAAACACACACACACACACTTACACTTATATTTATTCTCCGCCTTATATATATATATTTATGTATGTATTTGTATATACAAAACAGAAGAGAGGGAAGTACAGTACACTCGCAAATACGTATTGTATGCGGCCCCAGGCAACGCATATAACGTTACACAACACTACAGCTAGGTTTCGACAATATGCAAATTGTAACTAGATTTGTGTGCATATATTCTATTTACGTGTCATTTACTGTTTCAATTTTCATCAGTTTTGCTGTCTGTTTGTTATTGGTGAACGCTGAACGCAGAACATCTTTAAGCCACTCTGGTTAGAAAGACATAGAACGAAAGAGCAAACATTACTTTAATGGAGTTTTAGGCTATTTTGGTCTGTTTATGGACTGGCCATCGCACAACTAAAGAGCTTCATGGAAGTACAATATAAAGTTAAGAACTGGAATCGGAGACTTTATTGCTACATTGCTACATTCGAATCTGGAGCCTAAGTTCAAGTGTAGAAAAATATATATATTTATATATATATATATATATATATATCTCAAGTTGTCTCCATGTCTCACCAATGATTTGGGCATCAATAATATTTCTATGGCAGCTATATGTATATGCTATAAGCTATATATGCTTGTATGTATGTATGTGTGTCTCTAAGTTTGTATTTTGTGTGTTTCACTAATTTAGTTTGGAATTCGGCGTTTGCGTGGCTTTACGAGTACAAAAAACAGTTGCAAGTGCAAAGTAAACAGTTAACATTTATCTAAGGCTCTCAAGGAATTGCTATCCGCATATTTGACATAAAAGACAATTGCTACGAACCCAATTGCGGGTTCGATTTGTATATTTTGTATATTACACATGTTTTTGGGGCGTGGGAGGGGGCTGCTCGCGGGGGCGGGATTAAAGTAAAAATATGTGCGTGTGTGTGTGTGTTTATGCTATTTGCTATACAATTTTGTGTTTGTTTTGTTTTCTTTTCGTCTTGCATTTATGTGATGTTTCAGCTTGTCTATTTCTAGGGGTTTTCTATTTGAACGAACGCACACACACACACACACATACATACGCACGGATGCACATACGTGCGCGCGCACACACACACACACAGGAAAAACATTGCGTGTCAATTTATGAATTATGTTTTCTTTTCTTTTGTTTTGTTGTTACATAAAAAATTTCGTTGCTACTTAAAAACTAATTTTGCACTTATATATATATACATATATATATAGTATATAAGATGTTTGTGTATTTACCTATGCATATGCGTGTGTGGGTGTATTTATACGTATATATCAATTATATGTTGTTAACATTCTGTTTCGTTTTCTTTCCTTTTTAATTCTCTATTATTTTTGTGCACATACACTCTGTTGCGTGTATGTGTATGTAAGCGTGTGTGTGTGTGTGCAAGTAACTAAAATATAATATAAAATCTAAGTGGATGCTCTTGTTGCTTGTTTATGCACTTAATAGTTTAAATTAGTTAACAAGTATAAAAAAAATTAATTGCTCTTAAACGTAGAATTTAGAACCTTATCGCCTATAGATAATCAAATATTACAATGCATGTATCAATAATAATAATAATAATAATAATAATAATAATAGTAATATTATATTAATAATATTGTTTAAAAAAAAAAGAATTTGTTTTTTTTGTGTGTTTTTTGTTGTTTTGTTTTCGTTTTATAACCAAAGGAAATATGCCTTTTTCTGTTAGTGTTGTCTGTATATGCGTGTGTTTGAGTCTGTGTGTGTGTGTGTGGGCGTATGTGTGCGTGTGCGTGCATGTGCTACTGCAACAATCCTTACACATTTGAGACACACATGCATGCATACATATGTACATTAGTAGTGGTGTATATACGCTCTATGTATGTAATTGTAGTTGTTAACGTAATTATAGTTACTTCGAACATTGCTTATGTTTAACAATTATAACATTGTCGATGTTGTTGTTTTTGTTGTTGTTCTTGTTGTTGCTATCGTGTGTTGCTCGTCCAATATTTGCATTCTTACTGATTTATGTTGTTGTTGTGCCAGCCTAGCCTTGCTGTTGTCAACGCTTTAGTTGTCCTCTTATCTGTGTTGTCACTGTTATTGTTCTTGTTTCATTTGCTGCTGCTGCTGCTGCTGCTACAATTAGTCGCGGTGTTTCCTGTGGTGATGCGATCGCCGCCTGTGATGCGAATGCAATTTGTGGGCACCGCTGTGGGACTTGCTGTGGGTTCTGGTATTGGACGACGCAGCCGTCGCGGCCGTTGCCTACAGCGTCTCCTCAAATGCAGCCATGAGATCGCTCTGCATGTTCATATCAATTTGGCCAGCCATCTGCGCACATAATAAATATATATATTTTAAATCGAGTTCAAATTTCATTTCAATTTTAGTCCCGCCTGCCTCTGAGCTGAGCGCTTAATGTAGTATTAAAACAATATTAGCAATAAAGTTAAGCCGACTTCAATTGATACGTTAAGCGCTCAGTAGCTCAGCTGCTTGGCTGTTTCTGTCTATTTACCGCCTCGCGTCTGCGTCTCTCCTGTTCGGCACGTCGCTGCTCCGCACGTTTGACGGCCGCGCGGTCCTGCGGCGATTGCTGCGCTGGCGAATTCTGTCCCTGACCCGGCGACGCCTTTATGTCATCCATACGCGATATCTGCGGCTGAGCATCATGCACGCTTTTACTACAAAATTGAAAGAAGAAGCAGAAGCAAATAATGAATGAGTTGCATGGATAACAGAGATTTCTCGTTGACCACTAACCGTCCACTTTCCAAGGCACCCAGTGGCGAGGCAGCCAGCACTGAGGCGGAGACCGCTGCGGTTGCTTGTGCCGCTGCCGCTACAGCTGCTGCCGCATGCTGAGCCAGGGCATTGCTGGCGGCCTGGTGGCCATTGCCAGAGGCAGTGCCACCAATTGACGCACCACCAACAATGCCTACATTGCTGCCGTTGCTGCCACTAGCAGCACTGCCGCCACCGCCGCCGCCACCGCCTGCACCGCTGCTGTTGCCGCCGCCTTGGCTGCTTGAGCCGGTGCCAATGTTGCCGCCAAGGCTGCTGTTACTGTTGCTGCTGGCCGCACCGCTGCCGATGCCACCGCCGCCACCACTGTTGCTATTGCTGCCGGCATTGACCAGATGTCCGCCACTGGCGCTGCCGCCACTATTGGCGCCGCCACCAACAGCACCGCCGCTGCCGCTGCCGGCACTGCCAGGTCCATTGCTGTTGGCCGAATTGCTGCTGTTGTTGCCGCCGCTGCTGCTTCCGATGCGCGATGCATCTGTGGCGCTGCTGCTGGCTCGATCCCGTTCGCCACTGCTCTGCGATCCGGATTGTGCGCCCGAATTGCCGGCATTGGTGTTGCTGTTGTTGTTGCTATTATTGTTGTTGTTGCTGTTACTGTTGCTGCTGCCGGCGCTGGTTGGATTGACGGCCACAATGGCGAGCGCTGCAGCTGCTGCAGCAGCAGCCGCTTGCGTTGCTGACACCGCAGAGGCAGCAGCAGCAGCAGCAGCCGCGGCTGACGCGGCCGACGAGGATGAGGAGGACTTGTGATGCTTGCGCTGCTGCTGCTGCTCCTTCTCGGCAGCCTCCTTCTGGTGTTTCTTCTCCTTCTCGGCCGCTTCGAGCAGTTTGAGGCGATCGCGTTCTTTGGCTTTGTTGCGGAATTGCTGGAACGAGTCCATGGCCGGCTTCAGCTTGCTAGACGTTGTCGCCGTGTTCTGCGGTGAGCTGGCCGATGCCAGCGACGACCAGGAACTGGCATTCTTTAGATTCTGCTCAACAGCCTTGAACACCTGGAAGCCGGAGTGTGAACCAACGCCGTGCATCTTCAGATCGGAGGGCGATTGCTGCGGTGGCAACACTTTCTGATGGTGCTGCTGCTGCTGCTGCTGTTGCAACTGTTGCTTGTCGGGCGGGCTGGGCATCATCGATTCAATGGGTTTCGGTATGATTAACATTTTGTTCGCCGCCTGGCTCCCGCCCTGCTGCTGAGCTAGCTGCTGCTGCTGCTGCTGTTGTTGTTGCTGTTGTTGCTGCTGCTGCTGCTGCTGTTGGTGATGATGATGATGTTGTTGCTGTTGATGGTGATGATGTTGCTGTTGCTGTTGCTGCTGCTGTTGTTGCAATTGCTGCTGCTGTAATTGCTGTTGCAGCTGCTGTTGCTGCTGCTGCAATTGCTGCTGTTGCTGGTCACCATCCTTGAGCTTGCCACCCGCATTGCCCATCATCATGGCCGCCATCGGCATCACATGATCCAGCAGGCTAGACGAAGACATATTGAGATTATCAAAGCCTGGCATCCCACTAAAGTCGGCCACATTGTAGCCATTGTTGTGCGCCTGCTGTTGCTGCTGTTGCGTTTGGTGGCCATGCGGCTGCTGCTGCTGCTGCTTCTGCTGATAGGCAGCATTTGCCATGTCCAGATTAAAGATGGTGTTGTTCAGCAAATGGTTGCCATTCATGCCAGCCACATTGTCCACGGTCTTTGTCAGCAGCTCGGCCATGTAGTCCATTTGCTGTTGCTGCTGTTGCTGCTGCTGTTGCTGCTGCAGGGCGAATTGTTGCTGCTGCTGCTGCGTCTGCTGCTGGTTGCCGCCTGGCTGCTGCATCAGATGCGCCTGGTGGGCCATTAAAAAGTTATCCGTCAGCGACGATTTGCCCGTGGAGGAGGCGCTAAACTCCAAGGAGGCCAGCGACTGCTCCACGGGATCATCGAATTGCGGTATCTGCTTAAGGCCAGCGGCCAGCGAGGCGCTCGACAAGCTATCATTAACGCCCATGCCGGCATTGTTGTTGTTGTTACTGTTGCTGCTATTGTTGTTGTTATTGTTATTGCTGCCGGTGGACGCGAGCGCCGCCGTCAGCGCCGCATGATGCTCGCTCATCTCGGGCTGTTTGTGCAGATTGCTAGCAATCCGTATGCCACCCACACTGCCCGCCGCCTGAGCCGCAGCGCCAGCTCCCGCTGCTCCGATATAGCCAAGCGGTGGTATTCTATTACCCGCCGCCGCAGCAGCCAGCCCGTTCTTGTGATGGCCAGAGGCATGCAACATACTGGCAACATCGAAGCTGCCGCCACCCGGCGCTGTCTTATTGTTGTTGTTCAGCATGGCCGCTGCAGCCATCGGATTGGCACCGCCCAAGAGGTTAGCTGAACGCACGCACACAATTCACGAACGCAAATGAAAGGTAAATGAGAACGAGGTGAGGACATAGTTTAGTCAGATTAGTCACAGTGTGAGGGACAATGAAGGCGGCTCTACTTACTCATTTGTGCTGTGGGCGTGTTGGCCGACTGCATAGAGGACAGCATATGATCCACTTGGTCCAGCTGCATTTGCATTTGCTGCTGCTGCTGCTGTTGCTGCTGCGTCGTTGGCAGACTGCTGAGCAAATTGCTACCCAGGCTGGGATTATTATTTACCTGCAGCAATCAAAATGAGAAACACCACAAACAGTGAGTGAGTGACAGAGTGTGAGATGGAGAAGGAACAGAAAGAAATTAAAATTGTGGACTGCGCCAAACACAAAATAGAAGAAACTTTTATGTTTGCCAGTCACTGGCAGCTGTCAAAGGAATCTGTTCTCTAGCCATATCCAGGCAAATGTCAATCGAAGACATTCAAGCTGTAGCTAAAGCTCAGCCTATTTTCATTAAATTTTTAAAAATACTTAAGCTCTCGAGTCGACGATCTACTTTTGCTCGCATTTAACTCTTACTCTTATTGAGCTCTATGAATTAAGCAGTTTCTATATAAGCACATAGCACAACAGGTAAACAGTTCACAAAACGATAAATTACACTGGGCGCATTGTTGGGGAATGTTAATTAAACATTAATTATTAGTTATTAATTATTTCAAGGGTCGAGACTATGCCAATCAATGAGTTTTGTATTATAATTTGCTTGTGGAAGCAGCAGAAACGTGGCCGATTCAAATAATTATGTCTGTCTATCATTCCGAACCCAAGTCAAGTGGATATATGCATATATATCTATATATATATCTTAATTGCTGCAGCTACTTACATTGCTTCCATTCGAATCACGTGACTTTTTCTTGCGCGGTGGCCGGTCGTCGGCATCGCCTGAAATTTTACGATATTTACGATATTAACAAATTGTTTAAGGCATAAAAGAGTTAGTTTTCAGTTTTGTTGTTTAAAGCGAGGAAAGTTTGGGTTTAGTTCAGAGAGAGCAAAGGAAATCGAATGTATAAATCAAGTGTGAGTTTTGTGAGTGGAATCAAAATAAAAAAGCTACTTGGGAAAATATTAATTGAATTAGAATAAGAATTAGAAGTAGAATTAAATTGAATGTGAACTCATATGCACACATATATATATATATATATATATATATATATATATATATGTATATAACTATATATATATATAAATATATATATATATATATATTAATAAATATATATACATATATATATATATATATATATATATACATATATATATGCATATCTATTGATGTATGTGTATATGAGTTATAACAATATATATGTATACGGTGTGTGTATGTTGTGTGTGTTTGTGTGTAGGAAAAATACCTCGATACAATTGTGGAGAACGCTGAAACCAATGTGAAGCAATTGTCGTAACCATTTGGGGGGAGGAGGAGTTGGGGAGGGAGAGGGCGCGCAGCCTTTGCGGTTGGGTAGAAAAATGTAACAACTGTCTCTACCCATACCGCCTCTCTCTCTAACTCTCACGCACACACTCTCTCTTTCACTCTTTTCTGTCTGTCTGCCTCTCCGCCCACTCCCTCTCTTTCTCCACTCTCTCTCAATCCTAAACTCTGTAAGTAAGAAAAGCTGCACGGCAAAGAGGAACGCAACCAAAGCCAGCACTCGAGCGGATCATCTCATCAACCAACCTTTGCTCTTTTTATATATATATATATATATATAAATATATATACATGTATATATATATGCATGTATATATATATATATATATATATATATATATATATATATATATATATATATATATATATATATATATATATATATATATATATATATAAAATATATATATATATATATATTATTATTATTGTTTTATGACTTCTTTCTTTTATAGAGTATATTATTTGATGTTTGTTTTGTATAATTTTTTAACGACCAAAAAAAAAAAAACAAAAAGAAACTGTACAAAAAAATCTTGTTGGAAGAATGCAGAAACACAGTTGTTAATTTTTTTTGTTTCTTTTTAATAAACATTTTTCATTGTTGTTGTTGCTTGTTGTTGTATTCATTGCCATTTTAGTTTTGTTGTTGCGCTGCATTTTGTTGTTTTTTTTTCATTCATTTTCTTAAACATATTATTAATTGTTTTTTTTTTTATATATTTTTCATTCTTTTTTATTTTTATTTTTCTTAGCAGCTGATTTTTAATATTAAATATTATTTTTACTATAAATATTTGTAGATATAGGTATAATGTGTGTGTGTGTGTCTGTGTGTATTGGTAAATTTTCAAATAATTTATGCGTCTTTATGCTAAGAGTGTGTGTGTGTCTGTGTGTGTGTGTGCGTTTGTTGTTTGTTCTCCTCTTCATCTTCTGCTCTGTTTTTCCTTTTAAGTTTTCCTGCCCTATTTGTATGCCTTGCGTCGCCTTTAGCTAAGATTTTTACTATGTTATTTGCATTGATTTTATTTTATTATATATATATATATATTTCTTTTATAATTTGGCTGGCTTTACATGTGAGTGTGTGTTAGAAAAAAACATCGGACTTCCTTATTTTTGTTGTTGAAACCAAAAATGCATTATTTTTTATATATTTAATTTTTTTATTTTTACAAGACTTGAGCGTGTTTACATGTGTGTGTGTGTGTGTGTGTGTGAAAGCTGTTTTGGTGTTTGTTTCTATCATTCTTTCCTTTTCTCTTTCTCTCACATATTCGTGTTTGTTTTGTTGTTTTTAGTCTTCTTCTGCTTGCAACTAGAAAACAATTTTTTTTTCTTTTTTTTTTTGATACATAGGCAGCTAAATAGTTTAAAAGGCAAAACCAAACTAACGTAAATTAAAAAAAAAATAGTTATAATTTGTTTGCGCATTTTTTCGGCATTTTTGGAATTAATTATTATAATTATTATTACTAATAATTTTTTTTGAGTAACAGCAATTAAAAAAAATATATATATCTTAAGGGCATATAAAAATGTATTTTGTGTGTGTGTGGTGTGTGTTTATATGTGTGTGTGTTATCTATCAGCAAAATACAAAGCACACGCTCAAAAAAAAAAAAAAATATATATATATATATATATTTACATATATATATATATTTATAAATAATTTTACTTTTGTTGTTGATGTTGTTTTAGTGTTTGAAATAATGTTGAAACATGTTTTGTTTTTATTTTTATCTTTATGTATTTATATTATTATTGTTGTTTTCTGCTTTGCTGCTGTTTATTTAGTTTAATATTAAAAATTTATATATTTAAATTTATTTAATGCAATTTGTTGTTTACGTTTTAATTCATTTCTATATATTTTTGCTTTTTCATTTTGCTCTTTTTTTGCTTGTTTTTTTTTTTTCATTTCATTTACTTTTCTTTTTTTTTTTCATTTTTTGTTTTGTTTTTTTTTTTTTTTTTTTGAAAAAACGTGCAAACAATGTGTAAAGGGGAAAGCCGACAGCCGAAAAATAAATAATAAAATGCGATTTCAAAATACATTCGATTATTCGTTTTCATTAAACCTTCTCTATGTAGATGCGCGCACATATGTATGCACACACAGCTAATCGATATATACATATATATGCATGTATGTATGTAAATGTATGTATATATATATATATATATATACACTGCCTGGAGTCCAAAAACAAACTCCATGCTCGACATTTTAACTAGAACTTGACTTGGGTTTTTCATTCTTTTCTTTTCTCTTTTTTTAAATATATATATATATATATATTTATTTATATATATAAATATTTTTGTTTTGTTTTGCAGTCTGTCTGTGCGGTCTGTAGATTTGTGTTTTTTTTCGTTTTAGTTTTTTGTTTAACTTTTATTTTGGTTCCGGAAAGTCTTCAGCTTCCTCGATTTTATTCACTTTTAAATTTAAATATAGTTGGTGTTCTCTTCTCTTCTCTTTGTTGTTGTTGTTATAGTAGTTGTTTAAAAATGTATTGCTTGTTTGGTATATACACATATAAAGTACATAAGTAGATCGTCTCAGCTCGCTGCTTGTGCCTCGTCCTGCTGCTAAGTCTACAAGTTATTTTAGTATTAACTATTTTACGAATTACTCTGCTTCTGCTTCTTTTTATTCTGACTGTGTGTGTGTGTATGTGTGTGCATGTGTGTGTTTGTCTCTGTGTGTATTTGTGCTTGCTTCAGTTAGATTCTTTTGTGGAAGTAGTTTTCAGTTTTATTTCAAGTTGGAAGAGTTCATCAGTTAAAACACAAATTAGAAAACGTTTACATTAAGCGATTAATAGTCAATGTACGGTAAAAAAGAGGTGTTCGACAATTAACATACAACAAAATTTGATTTGTTCTTGTTTTTTTTATATTGTTTATTCGATTTCGATTTCGATTTCGATTTCGATTACGGTTTCCCTTCGCATCATGCAACTGTCTGAGCCGACATAATTGATATGAATCAAGCAAACTTAAAGCACAGTGCACAGTGGGCGCAGCAATACAAAATATGAAATCAATTGGTGTATTGAGTACATAGACGTATGCGTGTGTGTGTTGTTGTTGTTGTTGTTGTTGTTAATTTGTTTATCATTTAGTTTTTGTTAATTTTGTTTCTAGCTAACTACTTATATAACACCCTCACCCTCTCACCCTGTCACCCCCACCCCAGCCCACTCAAACACTCGAGCTAATTCTCACTGTATTCGCTTACAATTTGTTAAATATTATTAATATACGTATTTGCTAATCGTTGATAATTGGTGTTGTTGTTGCTTGACTTTTGTATTTTTTTTGTTTTCATTCTTTTTTTGTTTTTATCATACTTTCTTATTTTTACACATTGTCTGCAAGTGTATTTTAATATCAATTTCAATTTCAATTGTTATTCATTTCCTTTTTTTTTGATTTTTTTTTTTATTTTTCTTATTTTTTATTTTCTATTGTTTAAATAATGCACATATGAATAGTGTGTGTGTGTGTGTTTTTGTGTGTGTGTTTTGTGTTTTGCATATTATCAGTGTTTCATAATTTTCTATTATTATGTTGGGTTTCTTTGCTGTTCTCTTTAAAGAGCTATGAAATGTATATCTATACATAAATATATAAATATACATGTTTATAACATATTGAAATTGTGTTTATATATACATATAAATCTGTATTTATATATATACATATATATACATACACATATATATATACGCGTTGCTGCATTCACTCCCTAATGTCTGTCCGTATGGCGAATGCGCGAATGTGTTAGTGTATATGTGTATGTGTGTGTGTGTGCGTGTGGGAGAGCTCGCAGTTGGCGCCCAAAAATGTAGGCAACAGCTTTGCGCCGCATATTAAAAGCTGACTGCTATAAAACGACGCCTGCGCGGCAATACAACCCATCGAATGACAGAAACCTGGCTAGCAGGAGGCTACGAAACATTTGAACAGCTCGAAGGCCGCAGTGTTGTACAATGCTTGCAAGGGGAGAGACAAATAAATAAGAGAAGTGCGGCAATAGATGAATGAGAGCATCTGCAAATTTTATACTATTTCCGTATTTATTTGTTCAGCATTTGGACACAAAAAAAAAACAATAAAGAAATAATAAATAAAATAATTCTACCAACAGAAACCAGTTAAAAAATGTATACGATTGATAATAGATTAAAGAGCATCATTACTTATAGGATATACAAGAGAGAGAGACTAACAGAATTCAACAACAAATATGAGTAAAAGAGAGATGTGGAACCATGAAACTGTGCTAAAGCCAACTGTATGCGACAGTGCTTGAAATATAACTAACTATGTATAATTGTAGAGCTAGTGGAGAGAATGATGGAGCTTGATTTACCACCTAATCGATTGATGAGGAAACTATGCTACACAAAATTACAAATTACAACACG